CATTATACACTTTCTCCCTTCTAGGTATTTAAATGAACTGTAATCTGTAGAAAGATGACTTTTGCTAGTGAGAAATGAGCAGCATATGACTTAGGGTTTTAGTTTTGTTGTTTCTGACCACATGAATGCTTTCTCAAGAAAATATACAGTGACGTGCATTATTATATTTGCACCTAAAAGGCATTTACCTGTGTCATTCAGAAATTAATTTTTTCTATTCTTATCAACAAGGAATGCAGTGGAAAAAAATTTACATTAGCTTTTTTCAGTGTAATTTGCTCTATAAGTTTGAACTGTTCTTATAGAAGCATTCTAAACTGAAGGCCACGACTATTTTTTTTTTTTTTTTTAGTTCATGAAAAAATCAATTCTCCCTCCCACCTTCAGTGTATTATTTGGTAATAAGTGTGTGTAACTTTCATATGTGTTGTGCCAAATAGCCAATTGGTTTAGGTGTAAAATTAAAAAAATTAATTAAGGATCAGGCCAATGGTTTCTCTCATTAGACACATCTTCAACAGCATTTCTTTCTTGAAGATATCTCGCAAATATCCCCCTGAACTTGAAGATATCAGTCTATCATATAATAATTTTTGCACAAATCTGAAACAAGTAGAACATAAGAATCCATTGGTTTTTGTGCCCAATCACAGAAATAATAAAAATTTACTTCTTGGATTATATTTATCTTCTGTGTCACTAGGTTCTCTGAATCTCTCTCTAGTTGTCATGATTTCAGAAATTTTCATCATTAGTGAGATACTACCATAGCACTCATTTCCTAGGAAATGTAGGAAGGGAAGTACAGTGCAGATATTGATTCTCAGATACTTGAAATGGCTCTGGAGTTTGTTACCCAAAATACAGAAATAAAACTCTGAACCTAATTGCCTGCTTTAGGGTTGTTTTTATTTTGATTTTTGTTTTGAAGCAATTGCCATTCCACTATCAACAATTTATATTATAAATCAATGTGACAAGTTCTGACAATAAGAGCAATAACTTCAATGTTTTTAATCAAACTAAATGTTATCTCACTCATTTTTCCATTTGTTGAAATGTTAGAAGAAATTTTCAACACTCTTTTCCAGAGGTGTATTTTTCTCCCACTCAGAGTATGTTTCCATCATATTCACTTTCTCAGGTTTCTAGAGTTCTTGGCAAAGTTATCACAATAATGTTCATAGGTAACCTGGTGATTCTTAATCTGCTTCACAAATTAGTCACAACAGCTTTTTGTTTTTCCCAAAAGGGCTACAGGCAGGATTAGAAATAACAAAATTTACCGTTCATTTTTAAAATTCAACATATTAACACAATATGATATTGTCCCTGTAGAGTTTCACTTCACATGATAAAAGAACCAAGACGTGTCTGATCAATAAACAGAAAATCAAGTTAAAAAAAGAAATAAATATACTCCTAGATATTTAATTTTCTTTGGAGCTATGGTAAAAAGGTATTGCGTTTTTGATTGGCTTGATGGTTCCTAGCATATATGAATGCTTCTTATTTCTGTATATTGATTTTATAACCTGAAACTTTACCAAATGAATTTATCAAATCTAGGAGTCTCTTGGATGAATCCATGGGGTTTTCTAGATATAATATCATGTCATCTGCGAACAGTGAGAGGTTGATCTCATCTGCCCCCACTTGAATGCCCTTAATACCCCTCTCTTGCCTGATTGCTATAGCTAGGACTTCGAGCACTATGTTGAATAGAAGAGGAGATAGTGGGCATACTTGTATAGTTCCAGTTTGAAGAGGGAATGGTTTCAATTTTTCCCCATTCAGTATGATATTGGCAGTGGGTTTGTCATAAATGGATTTGAAAAATTTAAGGTATGAGCCACCTATGCCTATTTGTTAAGAGTTTTTATCATAAAGGTGTGTTGTACTTTGTCAAATGCCTTTCCTGCATCTATTGAGAGAAACATATGGTCTTTGTTCTTGTTTTTATTTATGAAGTGAACTGCATTTATAGACTTGCGGTATGTTGTACCAGCCCTGCATCCCTGGAATAAAGCCCACCTGGTCATGATGAATTATTTTTTTGATGTGCTGTTGAATTCTATTTGCTAAAATTTTGTTGAGGATTTTTGCATCTATATTCATTAGGGATATTGGTCTATAATTTTCTTTTTTTGTTGCGTCCTTTCCTAGCTTTGGTATAAAGGTGATATTGACTTCATAGAATGAGTTAGGAAGGTTACCATCCTTCTCACTGTTGTGGAATAACATCTATGGTATAGGCATGAGTTCACCTTTGTATATTTGGTAAAACTCTGAAGTGTAGCCATTTGGTCCGGGACTTCTCTGATTGGGGAGGTTATTAATTACTGCTCCAATTTCTGAGCTTGACATAGGTCTTCTCAGGAACTCTGTTACCTCCAAGACTTATACAAGGAGAACCTCAAAACGCTAAAAAAAGAAACTGTAGAAGATGTAAACAGATGGAAAAATCTACCTTGTTCATGGATTGGTAGAATCAATATTGTTAAAATGTCAATATTACCTAAAGTGATCTACAGAATTAATGCAATCCCCATCAAAGTACCACCATCATTATTTACAGATCTAGAAAAAATAATACTTAATTGTATATGGAACCAGAAAAAAACTTGTATAGCCAAAGCAATCTTAAGTAAAAAGAACAAAATGGGAGGCATCAGTCTTCCTGACTTCATGCTGTACTATAAAGCAATAATATTTAAATCAGCCTGGTATTGGCACAAGAACAGAAGCATCGATATTTGGAATCGAACTGAGATTCCAGAGATGAAATCATTTGCATATGGTAAACTAATCTTTGATAAAGCAGACAAAAATAGACAATGGAGAAAAGAATGGTGCTGGGAAAACTGCATAGCTACATGCAGAAGACTGAATCAGGATCCCTCCCTCTCACCTCTCACAAAAATCCACTCAAGATGGATAACAGGTTTAAACCTAAGGCATGAAACCTTAAGAATCCTAGAAGATGTTGGGAAAACCCTATCAGACATTAACCACATTAACCTAGGCAAGAAATTCTTGAAGAAGACCCCCAAAGCAATCACTGCAGCAACAAAAATAAACAAGTGGGATCTGATCAAATTAAAAAGTTTCTTCGCAGCCAAGGAAACTATCATTAGAGCCAATGGATAACCTACAGAATGGGAGAAAATATTTGCTCTCTACATTTCTGATAAAGGTCTAATAATAAGAATCTATCTAGAACTCAAAAGAATTAACAGGAAAAAATCAAACAACCCCATCAAGAAATGGGCAACATAAATGAACAGAAACTTCTCCAAAGAAGACAGAATACTGGCCAGCAAACATATAAAAAATGCTCAATATCTCTAATCATTAGAGAAATACAAATCAAAACCATAATGAGATACCACCTAACCCCAGTGAGAATGGCCTGTATCAAGAATTCCCAAAACAACAAATGCTGGTGAGGATGTGGAGAGACAGGAACACTCTTACACTGCTGGTGGGACTGCAAATTAGTGCAACCTTTGTGGAAAAGAATTTGGAGATATCTCAAACAGCTAAAAATAGAAATACCATTTGACCCAGTAATAGCATTATTAGGCATCTACCCAAAAGAGCATAAGACATTCTATTATAAAGACATCTGCACCCAAATGTTTATGGCAACACAATTCACTATTGCAAGGACATGGGAACACCCCAAGTCAATTCATGAGTGGATAATTAAAATTTGGTATATGTTCACAATGGAATATTACTGAATTCTAAGAAATGACAGCAAGCTAGCACCACTTATACTATCCTGGATTAAGCTTAAGCCCATTATCCAAAGTGAGGCAACAGAAGATCAGGAAAATGGGCTCCACATGTACTCGCCATCAAATTGGTACTGACTGATTTAAACTATGGTGCTCAAATGGTGGTAGTGTTCACCAGGGATTCAGGGGTTGAGGAAGGAGACCTACATCTTAGGGATGTGGTGAGCATTGCAGAGGGGAAGGGCATATCTCTAACCCTTGCTAGGGAGAGGCAAAGATATAAAATGTAACCAAAATGTCAAAAAAAAAAATAAAACATTTATTGAGTGTCGAGCAGGTGGGAGGAGGTGATCGGTGTATACTTACATAATGAGTGCGATGTGCATCACCTGGAGGATGGACACGCTTGGAGCTCTGACTTGAGTGAGGAGGGGTGGCAAGGGCAATCAATATATGTAACCTTAACAACATTTGTACCCCTATAATATGATGAATTAGAAAAAAATTTATAAAAGGAAATAACACAAATCAACATCCACATATATTATAATTCTTCTAAAACTCCAATCTTCTTTTGCCAGAGGTTAAAATGTTGTTTGATTTAAATTTTCTTTTTTTGTTCCTTCTCCAGCTAACCCTTAGTGAGAATGAATAAATTATAATAATATCACAATGAACAAAGATAGGTGAGAAAAGAAAAAATGATGTAAAGCACTAGACTATGCACTCTGTAATTCTTAATCAAACTTTTGGGCTAATAAAAATGCCAAATACAATTACATAGTTAGTGATACTGTGCAGTTTGAGAGGTTTCAGTGTACTGGAATTGTTTTTATTTAATCTAAGTGAAAGTGAAGCCAGAAATAAGGTAACTGTGTTTCATAAGTGTTAGCAACAACCTTGAGAAACTTATTTCACTGAGATTTCCTACAGTTGTACAGAAAAATCCTTATGTGGCTTTTACCTTAAATGATGTAATAGGCATAATCTAATGTAAATATCTATTAAGTTTGTCTTAAAAGATGCAACATAAATGTTCAGAAACACTACAATATTGTTCACCAGCTTTGAAAAGTGATTGGAATTATGTTTAATTCAAAGAATTATATTGAAGGAGCTATCAGAGTAAACAAGAAAGTAAGCTAATTCATAGAACTGTACCACCAAAAAAGTGTATTTTACTCTATATAAATTTTAAAATCAATTTAAAATTAAATAAAAAATCTGACTTTTGAATTAACACACAATAAAAATGCATTTTTATTTTTCATAACTACTTTATTAATATCTATATTAATGAATAATAAAACATGCAATACAGACCCTGAAATAGAGCAATTAATACACATTTGCCACTGGACTACATACTGCCATCCTGGGCCATACAATATCCAACCTTCTCACTTCCAAAGCATGGCTAGAACTGCTTTGGGTACTGTTCACTTTCAGATGCTGTATGATGTCACAGAGGAGGAAACTTTCCAAAATACAAACATAAATACATATTTCATAAAATTCCAAATATTTTAAGCAGGGGTAGCATAAATTTCACACATTTTATTTCTAAAAATATCACATAAAATCACTAAACAATTGCCTTCATTTTTTTCATTTGTGCACACACATTTTCCTGAGCAGCATTTTCATTAATACTCTTGCTGTTATCAACTTGTGCTGCTTTTAAAAATCATTTACTGAAAGCACATTGGATGGTTAGTGTAAGAAAGCTACTGTGAATCAATATTTTAAGGCCTCTGCATAAAATTCCTCTGGTGTGGTAATTGGCAAATGATATAGAAAGGTTCCTGTCCACATATATTTCAGCTTCTCTTGCTCCCATATTTTCCAGGCCAATTGGGCCGGGTAGAAATAGTCAAAATACTGCCTAATAATTGTGATGAAAAGTTTATCTAAGCATGACTATAAATTTGTTTTGTAAAAAAATATGAAAGAAGAAAGACAAAATGGTAACTAATAGGGAAGATATAAATAAGAATGTAAATAAACCAAAGCCTAAACAAGTACAGTTTCCTAAATGTATATTAGGAGATATACGCACCTTCAGCCTTAATATAGAAAACAAAAACAGTAATGTTGAAATATGCATGTGAGTAAAACTCACTTAATTTTTCAAGGATTGAAAAGGATTTCTTTTGCTGTGAAATGATTACATTTTAAGGACTATACAATTTGAGATTGTTTTAAATGTATTTTTCCTATTTTAATTAAAGTGTGTGACAAATATTAGTTTGGAAGGCAGAGGCTCTTCATAACTGTCACCATTACACAATAGCACTAACCATTTAACAATCATTTTTTTCTAACCAAATTTACTTAATTAAACATAAAACATTAAATAACTAAATGAGACTACACAAAATGTACTCTCTAAATATATTACATTGGTGGTATCATAGGTAAAAGCTAGCTTTTAATACACTGACACAGTATTAGTTAAAATTTGAAGATAAAGCTCAAGAAAATGATGTGTATGTACTTAGCATATAAGATACACAGTGTTTTAATACATACTTACAAATGTGATATATGAACACTATAGCTAGAAAATTAATAATCACAATATAATTCAATATGGCCACAGAATAGAATAACCCATCAGATTGAACATGTTATTATCATACAAATCATTCAATTTGAAGTTCTCATTTCAAACATAATCAAATCTTTCCTTTTTCAAGGGAAACATTTTTTAGTAAAGTAAGACATTTTGCAGTTCCAGGACTACAATTTTTTCACATCAAAAGAGCCACCTGTGAGGTTTGTCATCCTATAGCTCTCTTCATCCATTCCAAGAAAGATTTTGTAATGTGATGAGAAAGATCTCATCGAATCTGAAACCCTGGAAGTTACAGGTTTCCAAGGCCAGACCTAATGGAAGCTTAGAAAGAGAATGCATAGGGGAGAATAACTGGGCTCACACCCCTTGCCTCTTTGGCTACTCCAAGCCTGCTTCCAGTCCAAGCCTCTCTGGTACAAACCCAGAAGAGGGTGCCCAGTCATTTTATATTCTAAACACAGTCTAAATCTGATTATAAAATCAGAGTTAGAAAGGGCAATAAAAGCGTATTTGTTCATTCCTATGTCTCTAGGAAAGGTATCAAAACTTTGCCAATTTTTAGATATCAGGATTTAAGAGCCTCCCTAATAACTCAATAAATCATACTATCAGAAAAAAATCCCTAAACATCTAATTTTGGTTCCTAGTCTGATTTTCCATTAACATAGATAATAACCATTCAGATTATTGACAAATTATTTAATAATCTTTTACTTTCTCCTTTTTATCTCCTTTAAATTTGTGCATGTGTGTTTATGTGTGTAGATCATAACTAAAGGTGTGGAAAGGAAAAATGTTGAAATAATTTAAATAGAAGAAAAAATTCTCGCTCACATAATCTTTGCAAGTTTTTTGAGAACAAAAACATTCACAAGCTACTGGAAGCACTGATTTTGTCATTCTGGGTTTCTTTGTCATCCCCAGGTTTAAAATCTTCATCAACAACAATAATAGCAACAATAGCAATACATATACATAATCATATTTCAATAAACTGTCAAACATCATCAGTCCTTCAAGATTCACATGCACCTGGAAAACCAGTGTGCTCCAAATCCCTTATAATATTAACAACATTAACAAACAAAAAAGATTTTTAAAAAACATTAATTAATTTGAAATTTCACAAATTAAACAGTAGTAGTAAAAAGTTAAGAATTTATTCTACACACCAAATGAAATATGATTTAAAGAGCTTTACAATGAATGGGAACAATATCTTCTCAAAACGCTACTTAACCTGCTGGGCACATGAAGAGAAGCTTTCTTAACATTCAGTGGAAACCTTCACCAATGAAATTATACAATTACCACAGTGTATATTACAACATTTATACACAATTTAATCATAAATTACATATCTTCAAGTTACACATTGCAAAGTCTACATCTAATTTAATCGATAAGAAATATTCACCCCCCCAACCCCAAAACATCAATGGTCTCTTGGTTTAGTGTAATACTGAAACAAGACATTTTTTTTTTTAGTTTTCCTATGGAGGAAACTTAAGTTGGTGGTGTTTTATAAATTTATGAAATGTGCACATAGAAAATAATGGCCAGTTGAGAGGATAAAAGCAGAAAATGAACAGACAACAGAAGGAAACTAATGTTTCCTATGAATACTATTGTATTCTTTTCTTAGAAGGACATATTTTGTTTCATATGTGAGATTTTATTGGGTTTTTTTTTTGCTGTGTGGTATTGGAGTATTTCTTATTAACCCCAAGAAGCAGTCATGAACCTTATTTCTCCCTCTGCACATCTCCTTGAAATTCAACACTATAATACATTTGATGTACATTATAATTATGTCTCTTGAAAAGTTTCTTCCTGACTTTAATCTTGTTATAAGTGGTTTTCTTCAGTAAGTTTTCTTCAGTAAGCTACAATGACAAAAATCCCTTAGTCTTATAGGTTAGGTATATGGTTTATTTACAGTTATATTTATTTGTTTGTTCTTTTACTGAACGTCTTTCAGTAACAGCCTATTGAACTATCAAATCAACATTAAAATATTCTTGATTTTCTCTAGAAAATAGCAGTTTACAGTCATAGCTGTAAATGAGCCATGTGTTGAATGCATCCACATTCCTTGTGATTTTCTAGGCTATTACATACAAATTCTAGAAGATAAAGACCTGATAAATAGTGGAATATAGGCTTAAAATGGCACATACAATTTTATTTCTGATGTACTTTATAATAAACTACAAAGATTTTTTTTTTTAAAAAAAGAGGCCCTTTTTAGCAAATAGTTGACTAATTTGGGCACAGCTATTGCACATCAGTGTCTCGAACTCTACTAAAGAGTAGAGAAATAGGTTATAGACCTTGATCTGTACAGTTTATATATGTTTTTATTGAAAATGCATATATAAATAATATGAACAATATATTCTTAGAATAAAGGTAGAAAACATAAAAAATAGGAACAGAGACAGAAACTGTAAGAGTTATTTACACTTCCTACTGTGCAGTTTTGAAGGCAAAAACGCTAACAACAAAAAAACTAGAGACAAATAATAAACAAAAATGAAACAAAAAGACAAAAAAATGCTACAGTACTTATGTCTTCTAATGTTATCTGAACAAAAGTGTAGATAAACTAAAGGTAAATCTGGAAAATCAGATATCTATATGCTTTCCATTTGCTATGGACTGGGTCCACAAAAATCAAAATGGAAAAATAATCAGTAATATTGCACATGGTCATACAAACATAAAATAAATGTATAGTACATCAGAAATAGTATATACTACATGCTAATTTCTGCCATGATAAGCCTTTCTGTACAAGGGAATGTGATTTTTAAAATTTCTTTTCTTTTTTAATATATATTCTGAATTAAACCAAATTGTAAATCTATTTTTAACCTTTGACTAAGGATTTAGCTCTAGAATTATTCTGGTATCTGTTTCTATTTACATAACTATTTACAAACCTAACAATTTGGAATATTCACTGAAATTGGATCTTACAGTTTGACTATATACATAGTGTGTGAAAATGTGAAATAGCCATTTTAGCTTTACAAGGGATGTTCTTCCATAATGGGGGAATCACCCCTAGAGGATCTAGCCTTTTGGCCCGGTTTGAAGGTTGTCAAGGGAATGACTTTAATTGAATCATTACTGGAATGAAGTCTTTCAGACATGGTGTAAAACTGGGATCTTGCACTACCTTGCACCCCCTGATCAACAGAGCATAGTTCATCAGCTCCAACACTTTGCATCCAACCTTGCTGCAAACCCATTGGTGGCTGGGCCTGGCTGCGATGGAGGGCAGCAGCCTGTGCCAAGGGAGGGCTATACTGGAGAGGTGAGGCCTGTGCTGGTGGTGGGCTGTGGCAAAGTGCGGTAGCCTGTACTAGAGGAGGACTGTGGTGGAGAACAGAGGCCTGCACCGGTGGAGGGCTGTGGCACAGTGCAATAGCATGGGTCACTGGAGGGCTGTGGCAGAGAGCAATGGTCTGTGTCACTGGCGGGCTGCGGCGGCGAACAGAGGTCTGTGTCAGGGGTGGACTGTGGCATAGAATGGAGGCCTGTGCCTGAGGAGGGCTAGAGTGGGTCAGAGATGCTGGCATCCAGCAGGCATCAGAATGGCCCAAGATGAGACATTCTTGAGTGCAGTTGTCAGAGGCCTCTTCCACAGTTGGTTGAATAGTTATTTCTGCAGCTGTTGGGGTGGAGAAACAAATAATAAAATTTATATTCTAAAGGTATAATTCATTATCTACTTAAAATAAATCATATGATTACAAGAAAAGTTAACAATCTATATATAATAAAGACTTCCTGTATTCTCACAGTTGGTATTTGATTTGTTAAGAAATAATTCCTAGGAAAGCATAAACAACCAGGAGCAGGTGGATGAGGTCTCATTTTTATAATAAAGATAGTATGGCCTAGTATCCCAAATGTAGATATTTTTAATTGTATTTTTGACTATAAATGGAAACTATGGTTATTGATCTATACATCCAAGTCAGTTGAAATATGGCTCCTAACTAGCACAGAGAGAGGACATAAAAGTAAAATGAATGGGAAAACAAATCATAGGAACATATAATGAACTAACCAATTACAGCTAACAAAATGGTTAGCTATGAACAAATTACATAAATTTGGAAATATAGTTTATTGGACTCTAAGATATGTTTCTTAGTTTCAAAACTGAAATATAGACATTTCAAAGATAATTGATTTCTGTACTATTCATTTTCTGCAATCATGATAAATTAGGTATTAGCAACATAACAAACTACAGATCCAAAGTACTTATCTGTAAACTATAGTAGTTTCTAAAACTCTTTTATAAGATTTCTTTAAAGTCTTCAAATATCAGTAGATATTAAATATCAATATGTATGCCATACAAAGTCTAGCAAAATAATAGAGTTACTATATCTATATAAAAGTTGACTTCAGAGCAAGGAATGTTATGGATATAAATAAGAACATTATATAATGATAGAAAGATCAGTTCTCCAAGAAGACATATCAACCCAGAGTGTATATGCACCTAACAGAGCTTCAAAACACAAGAAGTAAAAACAGCTAGAAAAGAAAGAAGTGGATATACCTATAATTGTATTTTGAGACTACAATCCTCCTCAGAACTTGATGAAGCAAATCAAAAATCAGTAAGCAGAGGGTGGAGCAAGATGACAGAAGAATAACACCGCCAGACAGAGTGTCTCTGCAGAAAAGACAGATTCTAGCAGAAACTAGAGGAAAGAAGCAAGAAGACGAGCATACAGCGGACAAGGGCCGGAAGGAGGGGTACCTGAGACCCCAGGAGACTCCACGGGAGGAGGCTGTGGAGGAGAACTAGAGGCTGAGACCACCGCACCTGCCCAGAGACCAGCGGCAAGGGTAGGTGGATTTGCTGTTTCCCCTCCCCTGCATTTGGGACTGATGGTGGGCTCCCCAGCGGGTGGAGAGACCTGCGGACACCAGCCAAGAGACCGCCGCCGCCAACCAGCAGTGAACCTGTAGCAGACGTGGCACCAGGTTCCCAACTTCCTCCGGGCAACTCCGTGTGCACAGATCCGAGCCGCGCAGCAGGCGACATATTGCCTCCCCCTCCCCTCTGCCGACCATACCCGTGGCTGCCCAGAGAGACAATACAGCCACCAGCCAGAGGCACCTCCAGGGAAAGGGACCTTCCTGTTAGGGACCCTACAGCTGACTCAGGGGAACTCAGACTGTGAGCTCCCTACCCGCCCGCCCTCCCAGGTGCTGCTGGCACGGTGTTCCCAGGAGAACGGTACCGACTCAGAGGCTGAGAGACATAGAACCAGCTTGGGCTTCCTGTGGGTGAATTGGGACCAGAACTCCTCTTCCTGGTGGGGATACAGTTTGAACTCTGGGACCCAGAGGTCGGACCTGCAGACCAGATCCCCTGCACCGAGGGCTAGCATTGCCTAGGGCACAGAAGGGTTATACGTGAACAGCCTACTGAGGTGTGTGTGCCTCCAGGGGCGGACCGGTGCCCTAGAGGGCAACCCTCCTCCCAGGAGGAGGCCGTGCGCCCAACCCAGGTGGCATTCCTGTGCAGTGAACATCCCCGCCGGCATCACAGTCCGGGGAGGCCTGGTGGCTTGTGGTCTGGCCTGCTGGCAGAGGCCCAGGAGTAGCTGTGGGGTTGGGGAGGGTGGAAAGAAGCAAGGCCCGCTCCAGACTGCTGGTCTCAGACAGCCCCACCCCCACACGCAGACTTTCTGCCTGAGCGGGGCCATTCCAGCCCCGCCCTGACAGCTTTCTGTAGAAGCAGAGAACAGAACTTTGACCCCTGCTAACGGCCTGAGGGCAGGCTTACCCAACCCAGCTCCGCCCAGAACAAGAGCAGATAACAGGATGCAAAATCAACAGCATAGCCTGTTCCTTCAAGCAAACGCCACCTACTGACAGGGACAGCATCTTGCACAGCCTTTCAACGGCACCCACTGACTCAATATACAGGGAGTGGTCCAATTTCACCCACAGACACCACCTAACGACTCAGAAACTAAACAAGGTATGTGAATACCCAAACAATAACTTAAGGAAAGAAACAACAACTGATCGACATGAGAAGAAATCAGCGAAAGAACTCAGGAAATATGAAGAACCAAATGGAAAACACACCCCAAAGAGGAGCACCAGCCCCTAGAAACGGACACCAACCAAATCAGGCAACCAATATGACAGAAGAGGAATTTCCTATGTGGATCATAAGAACACTCACCCAGCTGCAACAACAACTCAATAACCAACACAAAGAAACCACAAAAGCCTCCAGGATATGGGAAAAGAAATAGACACAATGAAGAAAAGTGTAACCGAACTCCTGGAAATGAAGAATCAATTCAAGGAACTACAAAATACAGTGGAAAGTCTCAAGAACAGGGTAGATCAAACAGAAGAAAGAATCTCAGAGCTTGAAGATAACACCCTCCAATTAAATAAATTAGTCACAGAAATAGAGCAGAGAAACAAGAGAAAAGAGCAAAGCCTACAAGAGCTGTGGGATTATGTGAAGAAACCTAATGTGAGGGTCATAGGCTTACAAGAAGGGGAAGAAGACAACACTCAAGGGTTGGACAAGCTATTTGAAGATATAATAGAGGAAAATTTCCCAGGCCTTGCTCAAAATCTTGATATACAAGTTCAAGAAGCTCAGAGGACCCTGGGAGATTCAACGCAAACAGGAAGACGTCACGACATGCAGTCATCAGACTGACCAAAGTATCAACTAAAGAGGCCCTTCTAAGAGCTGTAAGACAAAACAAGCAAGTAACATACAAGGGAAAGCCAATTCGAATAACATCAGACTTCTCTAGTGAGACTTTACAAGAAAGGAGAGACTGGGGCCCCATTCTCACTCTTTTGAAACAAAACAATGCCCAGCCTAGAATATTATTCCCTGCAAAACTAAGCTTCGTGTATGTAGGAGAAATGAACATTCTCAGACAAGCAAAGGCTCAGAGAATTCACCAAGACAAGACTAGCCCTACAAGAAGTACTTAAACAGCGTTACACACGGAATATCATAATAATAACCCACGAATATAAAAACAACAAAACCCAAAGATATAAGGCCAGATATTACAATGGCTCAAGACATAATCATAGCACAACATCCAACCCAACAGAATGATCAGTAATCTACCTTACCTATCAGTTCTCTCAATAAATGTGAATGGCTTAAACTCTCCACCTCAAGAGACATAGCTGGCTGAATGGATAAGAAATACAGGCCAAGTATATGCTGTCTTCAGGAAACACATCTAATGCAAGGATGCATGTAACTAAAATAAAAGGGTGAGATCAATATTCCAAGCAAATAGAGCCAAAGAGAATGCTGGTGTGGCAGTTCTAATTTCAGACAATATAGTTTTTAAACTAACAAAAGTAGTGAAAGACAAAGAGGGTCATTATATAATGATGAAGGGCACAGTTCAACAAGAAGAGATAACAGTTTTAAATATATATGCACCCAACTCAGGTGCACCCAGATTCATAAAGCAAACCTTACTGGAACTAAGTAAATGGATTAATAGCAACTCCATAATCGCTGAGATTCAACACCCCACTGACGGCACGAGACAGATCCTCCAAACAGAAAATAATAAAGAAATAATGGACTTAAACAAAACTCTAGAACAATTGGGTCTGACTGACATTTACAGAACATTCTACCCAAAATCCACTGAATATACGTTCTTATCATCAGCTCACGGACATCCTCTAAGATTGACCATATCCTAGGACACAAGAAAAATCTCAAGAAATTTAAAAATAGAAATCATACCATGTATTCTCAGATCACAGTGGAATAAAAGTAGAAGTCAACCTAACAGAAACTCACATTTCTACACGAAAACGTGGAATTAAACAACTCCTACTAAATGATATACTCCATAAATGAAGAAATCAAGACGGAAATAAAATATTCTATGAAGAAAACGACAATGGAGAGACAAGTTATCAACTCCTCTTGGACACAGCTAAAGCAGTTCTGAGAGGAAAGTTTATCTCCATAAATGCCTATAACCAAAAGACAAGAAGATCACAAATAGACAATCTAATGAAATGACTCAAAGAGCTGGAAAAAGAAGAACAGACCAACCCCAAACCCAGCAGAAGAAGTGAAATCAACAAGATCAAATCAGAACTAAACGAAATTGAAAACAGGGAAGCTATTCAGGAGATTAATAAAACAAAAAGTTGGTTCTTTGAAAAAATAAACAAAACTGACACACCATTGGCTAAGCTAACGAAAAGCAGAAAAGATAAATCTCTAATAAGCTCCATCAGGAAAAAAAGGAGATATCACAACTGATCCAAAGAGATACAAGATATAATTTATGAATACTACAAAAATGTTTATGCACACAAACTGGAAAATGTGGAGGAAAGGGACAAATTTCTAGAAACACACAGCCTCTCTAGGCTCAACCAGGAAGAAATAGATTCCCTGAACAGACCAATCTCAATAGCTGAAATAGAAACAGCAATTAAAAATCTCCCTAAAAAGAAAAGTCCTGGTCCAGATGGCTTCACACCTGAATTTTACCATACTTACAAAGAAGAACTAGTACCTATCTTGCAGAAACTATTCCACAACATCGAGAAGAACGGAAACCCCCCGACACCTTTTGAAGCGAATATTACTCTGATACCAAAACCAGG